AACTCAAAGACTCTCAAAGGCCAAGTCATGCACCCAAATCACACAAGACAAAGCTTACACAAAGAGAGGGAACAAATATACTTGTGTAAACAGAGGGCTGCAGTGGTCTGAAATGAGTCATCCTCACTTTTTGTCCTCATTAATGTGATGATCAGAGAACAGACTGATTACAGTTGGCTCACACTCAAGGGAAACCAGGAGAACATTACCTTAAATCATTTCATTGACACCAACCCAGCTAAACTTTCAGGACATTAATCAGTTGTCCTGTTTCCTTAAGTAACTAAAAAGCACAATTAACAGACTGTAGATGCAACCAGTCTATTTTCAAATTGTTTTAATTAAATGTTATAATTTGTAGCTCAGTCACTTTTTTACAAAAAAGAAGCAATGACTGGTATGAGAAGTATTTTCACAGCTGGAGGATAATTTAAAACGACTGGTTCACCGGGTAGATTCAATAGTTGTTGAGATATATTAGTTTAAATAAAAGTGATGGCTCGTCCAGCAGGCCGACATTGTCAACCCTAGAGCCACGCCACTGACATTGTCACGTGGAAAGTCACTGCCCTGATGTTCAACATGATCTCTCCTCATTTCCTCTGGTTCTGTTCATTTCCTGTCTCCTGTCATCTTCAGTAAGTCCCTAAAGGGACTTCATACTGCAGTGGACCACAGGCTGTGACACTAAACCTAAACATCCAAAAAGAAGAGGCCTGAGAAACAAGTTCTCCTTGTCACATGCCCGCCTCCTGGTGGTTGGAGTATGGTGTTGCGCATCCCTGTTTGCTGTGGGGCCCTTGGCACAGGGGGGAAATTACAGTCCTGAACCTTATGGCACCACCTGCTGCACTGACTGGCAAACAAAGCAAATGATAAGTAAAAGGATATGTAGAATTATTTTAAAGGAGATGAAATTCTTGTTTGGGTCCCTCCTGTGATAGCAATATATTATTGTGTAATCAGGTAAGTATTGTTTAGGCTTCATCTCAGAAAGGACAGGTTGGATGTACCCAGTGGAGAAGATGCTACAGTGGTACTCGACTCAAAATGATGCAGCT